ACACACACACACACACACACACACACACACACACACACACACACACAATCACTGTCTGTCTTGTCATGCCGGGACAAGTTGAATTCTCCGTCACTTTATGGTGGCAGGCTGCAGGAGAGTTTTTTACGAGAGCTTTAAAAAGCGTCTCGTTAACGGTGGGATCCTCGTTAATATACTGCCTCGTCCCTCGCCCTGCCGCCCCCACGCACTGCAGAGACAGAACTGATCCTCAACCGCCACGCCGCCATTTAATCAAGGACTGGAGGACCGCAGAGAGGGAGAAGGAGGGAGACGGGGGGAGATAGGGGGGAGGTGGGATAAGAGCAATATGAAAGAATGGAGGGAGAGAGAAAAGAGGTAGCGAGGCAGAGAGGAAGTGTGGAGCATAAGTAATGGAAGAAAAAGGAAGGGAATGAAAGAGGAATGAAGGAAAGACAGAGGGAGGGATGGAAGGAGACGACGGGATTGAGGTAGTAGCAGGAAAAGAGAGAGGTATGCAGGATGGGAGGGAGGGAAAAAGAAAATAGGGAGTGCAGAAAAATGTGGAAATGATGAAGAAAAGTGAGCAGCCAAAGGAGGGATGGAAAGAAAAAGGAAATAAGGGATGGAGGGAGGAGAGAATGGAGGGAGGAGTGCCGTCCTTATCAGTATTCTGTCCTGACCAGAGCTTTATTGTGATGCTGGACGACCAGTTTAACCACGACATCGCCTGCTGCAGCTCGCCCCGCAGCTCCAAACACCTCTTTCATCAATCTCTCCCTCTCTCTCTCTATGTTGGCCTGCAGCTGTACATCTCTCTTCAGCAGCAGCACATTAGATGTCAGTGTTGTTTTCTCAGTGGTCTCGTTTAGACTGCAGACACAACAGGACGAGCCTCCTTCATTTCCCAGGACCGATGTCGCCTTCACCTGAACTCACACAGAGAGTCAAGAGCTCGATAAGTTTGACTTTCGCGCTGTATAAATCGAGAAATCGGAGTAAAAAGTAGAGACCATGTTGTGCCACATTGAGCCACACTCCCTACCCCTCTACATCCAACGCCCGCTCTGACCACGCCCATCTTTAAACTCGACCTTCATTTAATATCAACACATCTGTGAAGTTTCATGACGGCATCTTTGCAAAGTCGAAAGTGCGAGTAAACACCTCTGTTTTCACACGAGTTATGTTAGAAACGGCGCTTTTTATGGCATAAAATTGAGAATTGCACAGTATTCAGAGAATGATATAGTAAAACTAGAAGGAGGGGCTCATTACCATAAGAAAAAATGCTGTAAAAAAGGCGTTTTTTGACTGTTTTTATACGGTGTAAAAAGCAGCGTTCTAAAGTCCCAGAAGAGCGAGGTTCTTAACATAGACCGTGTGGAAATAGAGCCGTTTACGGGCACTTTACATAATCACGGTGACTAAAATCCATCCACACAGACAGACAGAAATACAAACACCTGGCAAAGTGTTCAGAACCTCGTCTGTTGTCAGATGATCAAACAGGTTGGAAGCCAATCATTTAAATGTTTTCTAAAACCATCTCTGAAATGTTATTTATGTAATTTATGCTGTTCACAAATGTATTTTTCGATTAAAAAATACCAACGAAGTTGAACAAATGTAAAATAATTGTACAACTTCCAACTAGCCAAAAAAGCATACAAATATCTTTTTTACATCATTATTTACAGGTTGGTAAATATGTACCAACGGATCACCTGATACGTGCGGATCACATTTGTGTGCTGAGTTTTGAGACTCTAGGTAGCTTCTGATCCACAAATGTGCGTTGTGTTTAAGTGCTATACGTGGCTTTCACTTCATTTACTGTGTTTGTCACATAGAGATTGTGTCTCTCTCCTGGCCATTGTAAAAATGACTCGTGTTTCTTACTTTACTGATGTCACCAGCTTTTAACTTGGCTCTGTAGCTAGTTAGCTATGTAGAAAGATGATGTCCCCATTATTAGTCCGGCCTACTGAACCCTGATTGTCTGTGGAAACAGCTGGACCTGTTTGAACAAATCTAATATCAGCAAGACGCCTTTAACCAGGCGAGTCTTTGACTACAGGTCGGGCCTTTTTAACGGTAAACTAGTCTGTTGGTTACTACATGGATTAACCAGAAGAACTACTGGTCAGTGGTTCGGTTGAGTTTGAACCCACATGGTAACCAAAAGAGAGCCCATTTGTACCTGCAGCACCACTTTGGCCTGTCAAAAGTATGGATAGTGTAGGACTGTAGGAGGATCTGAGGGCTGATGTTGAAGCCTAAAGAAGCTCAGCAATTATCAGCAGTTACACTCCTACAATCTGTGTGTGTGTGTGTGTGTGTGTGTGTGTGTGTGTGTGTGTGTGTGTGCGCGAGTGTGCGCGAGTGTGCGTGAGTGTTGCACTGAGATAATAATAGATCTTATATTCAGAAAGTTAAAGACGGACAGGCAGGGATCATCTTCTGGTCTCTTTTTGAAAACTGGAGCATCATTAAAAAAAGAAGAAAGAAAAGAGTTCCAGATGTATTTATATTAATTTTTACTTCATATTTTACATTTTATTATTCATTTTTAGTTTTAATTGTAATATTTTATGATTGTTATTTTTGTTATTTACAGCAGTATTTTTAGTAGCAAGCATATTTTTGAAATTCTTGTTTTATTTCAGCCTTTTTTTTGCTACAGGCGGTAAAGCATTCAGTAACAAGCCTCACAGAGATCTTCCTGCATTAAAAATCATCACCTCCAGCTTCCCTGCAGGCTTTTTTTACTCCAAAAATAACGAGTCGGCTGAAATTCATGACAGTAACTTTGCAGTGAACCAGGAAACAACGTTGCCAAGTTCAACTGGTGTGTGTTGATATCTTTACCTCTCCTCATTCCAGCTCTCTAGCGTCTGTTTCCTGTCATGCTGCCTTCAAGTGCTCCTTTAGCCTCAAGTTCCTGATTCAGAAGTCACGTTTATGAACACCATGAGTTTAGGTGCTGCGAGTCGGAAACCGTAATTTATTTCAAATTATGTCGCTTTTTTAAATTGATTCACATTAGAGTTAAACTGCATGTCCTAGTACTCGATAATTAGATTCACAAAGGTTGTGTAAGATATGCTCACATTTACGGTATTTCTAAAGGTACATGAAGGCAGCATCTGTATTCTGATTGGTTGGAGACACAGACCCACACAGTGTCAGTGTAGCTCAAATTGTGGTGGTTTTATTTTTCTTGTATTCAAGTAATTTTTAAATCCAAAATGTAAAGTAAGCGATAGTTGATTTCACATGTGAAACACATTACACGTGTTATTCACATACATGTTGAAGGGCTCTGCTCTACTCCTCAGAGCAATAATAATTGAACTCAAAAATGTCCAGGTTTCTGACACTTTCAGGTGTTGTGTTCCAGCTCGTTACAGTGTTTCGTCCTTTGCCCCTCTGTGGATCTGAGGCTCCACTTCCTGTTTAAAGTAACACCTTTCACTTTCTAACCCTTTGTCCTTTTTCTCTCCTCTTCCCTCTCCTGTTTTTCCCTTCCTTAACCATCCACTCCTCATTTCCTTCTTCCCTCCTCTCAAACCAACATGGCTGCTTGCTGAATTCCAAACTTGCATGTCATCTCTTGTATTTATTATGTTGTTGTTTTGTTTTTTATCATCTGTGTGTATATGGACACATAACAAACCTATATTAATCTGAATACATGCTTGTGTCACACTCATTTGCTTATATAAATATTCATTATCACACATTCATTACACTGAATGATTTCATTAATTATCCCCAAACAACCTGGTTACCGTTAACAACCCCACCCCCACCCCAGACCCCATAGACCCATCTGAGGATGACCTCTTCCACCTCTTTGATAAATACCCCACTCCCATGCCAGACACCAGCACTCCCATGATCCCCCCGGTGGGGGTCCAAGCTGTGGCTCTGTCCTCGGACTCGGTCCGCGTCTCCTGGGCCGACAACTCCATGACCAAAAACCAGAAGGCGTCTGAAGTCCGGTACTACTCCGTCAAGTGGAAGACCAGCTACTCCACCAGTGGAAAGTACAAGGTGATAATGTGCAGCTGTACATCACTTCTGAGTTTAGTATAATCTCCTCCTAAAATGTGGACATGACTTGAGTCATGGATCTGGTGACTTTAGACTGGACTTGACAAAACCCCAAAAGACTTGAGGAAAACCGTTGATTTGGGACTTGACTTAACTTAGACTTTTGACTTGGAATGACTTAATATTCTCAAGCCTACTTCCTGCCTCAACTTAAGACTTAATTTAGGACTTATTTGTCTTAACTTGAGATTTGACCTTGGACTTACCTGTCTTGACTTGAGAATGGACTTTGAACTTACCATCATTACTTGAGACTTGAAGTGGGACTTACCTGTCTCTACTTGAGAGTTGAAGTGGGACTTACCTGTCTTGACTTGGGACTTGAAGTGGGACTAATCTGTCTCTACTTGAGACTTGAAGTGGGACTTCCCTGTCTCTACTTAAGACTTGAAGTGGGACTTCCCTGTCTCTACTTAAGACTTGAAGTGGGACTTCCCTGTCTTGACTTGAGACTTGAAGTGGGACTTACCCGTCTTGACTTGAGACTTGAAGTGGGACTTACCTGTCTTGACTTGGGATTTGAAGTGGGACTAACCTGTCTCTACTTGAGACTTGACTTGTGACCTACTTGTCTTGACTCAAGGCTTGATTCAAGACTTACCTGTCATGACTTTAGACTTGAAGTGGGGCTTACCGGTCATGACCTGGGGCTTAACTTAGGACTTACCTGTCTCTATTTGAGACTTGAAGTGAAACTTACCTGTCTTAACTTGAGACTTGACTTGGAACATACCTGTCTTGACTTAAGGCTTAATTTAGGACTTACCTGTCATGATTTGAGACTTAACTTGGAACTTAGCTGTCTTTACTTGATAACCTGTAAAATAATGACTTGTTAGGGATTTATCAATTAGACTTGTCATTGAACATACCGGTCATTACTGGACCTTTGCCATTACCTGTCAGATAGAATTTGTTTCGAATTATATATAGTTTTAGGCCTGGAATTGATTTGGGACTTTTTTAAACTTGTGACTTGACTCGGACCTCATAAGATGTGAGAACAAGTCCCACCTCTGCTCTCTTACAAGCTCAATCCTTTTTTTTTCTGTCTGCAACGGAATGAATAAGATGTTGCGTACATGTGTATTATGCCTCCTTATCTATATTTAAAGTACACCTTATTAATACTCCTTCTGAACAAGAAGCGTTATCACAGCAAATGATTATCATCTGAGGGATAAAATGTCAAACCTGCCACCTCCAGCGCTGCCTGAACTCAATTAAAGCAGGTGCCCTCTCCCTTGCAGCTATATAACAAGTGGCTCTCCAGAAAGACTAAATAGAGCACAGCTACTGTAAACATGTATCACGGAGTTTCACACCAGAGTTACAGCGATCTGAGACAGACTGGAGTAAAATTGCGCTGATTGTTTGTTTTATGTCCATTTCAGAAGCTTTTATTGATCAAGACATCTCTTAGGAAATTATTCTCAGCTGACAGAAACAGTTAAGATTGATTGGCTGTACGGTACTGAAACAAAACCTGGAATTATTTGGATTTGTTCTGAAAGCAAGACAATGTTCTCCTGTTCACCTGCTGAGACTTCTTTTCTTCTCTGAACTTGTGGAAAACTTCAAAAACCCTGTAAATAGGAAATCTATACAAGGGCAGACAGTCTGCTCACCTTAATAAACTGCAGCTGGGGACAGGCAGAGAGAGAGGTGTCTGTCCTTATTATCTTTGAAAATAAGACATTTTCTTTGTGCCACAAGGACAAGAAGATGTCTGGTCTTAAAGTGAAAACTGAAAAGAGTGCATGCAGCTGCTGGGGTATTTTAATATACACTGATGTTGAAGTCTTAGATAGAAATAATGTTTAAAGTACAAACACAAGGACGGACTGTCTCCACAACCGACATGAAATAAGATGCTCGGAGGAGGAACGCACTCTCAACTTTTTATGAGTGGCATTATTCAACTCATTATGTCTTGGATACATCTTTCTTAAAGACAGCATATCTCTATGGTTTCTTCTATATATTAAATTGTAACAGTAGCTTTCGTCTTTTGTCATGACAGACAATCTTTTTATTTTCCTTTTGTGCATTTTTTGTTTGTTGTTGAGTCAAGGGAGAATCTATATCTGTTTGTCTGTCTGTCTGTCTCCATGTTTATTGTAAAACCATGTGAATTCTACAACTCTATTGTGTGTCCAGTCTGCAGACACCACGGCGCTCAGCCACACGGTCACCGGCCTCAAACCAAACACCATGTACGAGTTTGCTGTCATGGTAACCAAAGGCCGCAAGTCCAGCACTTGGAGTATGACGGCGCATGCCACGACGTACGAAGCAGGTAAGTCTCTGAGACACACGCTTGTGTTGCTACACATCCCTAAAACCTGGCCCTCAGGCATAATATTATTCAACCAATTTCTTTTTAAGAAGATCTTTTTATCATTGGAGGAGTTTTATATTAAATGCTACTTGTACTTGTCCACTACAAACTACATCCTTGGGATGTATTCCGACCGTATCTTAACCTAACCTACACTTAATTCTAACCTTCTTCAAAACGCAAGTCTTAACTCTTAAACATCCATTGGGGTGCTTTGTCATTTCACCATAGAGTGTTCCCTTCAGTTGTCACATATTGTCATACACGACTCCAGTCCGTTTTTAGGGTGTGCCAGCAGAGATCTTAAGGTGTTGAACGGTTTGTGGAAGATCCTGAGAACCACTGAGATTCTTCTGATGAGTTCCATTGATTTATACAACTGAGCATTTTCCACATGCTGAGATAGACATTTAGGAAACATCAAAGAAATAAAAATATGTTGCATCTTTTTATACAGTTTCATATTTGGAGTTAAAGGTTCTATTCTTTGACAAAGTTCTCAAGAATGCGAGCAGCAACAAGAGTTCTGCTGTTGAACCAGTCAACCCTAACATACCGTGTAATGGTATAGAATCTCGGATCGAAATATAGATGAAACTTAAATGTTAGTTAAATTAATGATACCAAAGTTTAGCACATAAGGAAGAGTTTAGGGTGGTAGAGAGAGCTGCAGCAGCAAATCGCCTTGGCATCAACATATCAGCAGAGTAATACTAAGAGATGTCAGGTTGTAATGGCCACGCTTTACAACAGCATGAATACGATTGGACATCTCTATAATTAGATCATTTCTTTTTAGGTGAATCAATTTCCCATTATGAATATTTGAATATCCATACATCTATCCATCCATCATCTTCTGCTTATCCGGGGCTGGTCTCGGGGGCAGGAGGCTCAGGAGGGTATTCCAGATGTCCCTATCCCCAGCAACGTTTTCCAGCTCTACCTAGTGGACCCAGAGGCATTCCCAGGCCAGACGATATCTAAGTTGTGGGTCTACCCTGGGGCCTCTTACTAGTTGAACTTGCCCGGAAAACCTCTAAAGGGGGTCGTCGGGGAGGCATCCTGATATGATGCCCAAACCCCCTCAGCTGGCCCCTTTCAACGCAGAGGAGCAGCGGCTCTCCTCCTTGATGTCTGAGCTCCTCACCCTTTCTCTTAGGCTGAGCCCGGCAAGCCAATGAAGGAAGCCCATTTCGGTCACTTGTATCAGTGATCTAATTTTTCCGGTCACTACCCAAAGCTCATGATCATAGATCAGGGTCGGAACGTAGATGGACAGGACACTTGAAATCATTAGGTCCAAAGAGTTGTAAAATGCACTAAAAGCCAAATCCAGAGTTATTTTCTTCATGTGAATGAGCTTAAGACTGGCTTTGAGGCGGGGTTAAAGGAAATTCTAGTGCACTTGCCCTTTGGTCCCATAGATGTGAAAGATTCCTGTTTTTTATTACTAGGCAAACATCTGGTTCTGCTGAGTGAAACCAATGCAGAAGTGTCTTAAAACCTGCATTCTCTCTACAGACCAGCAGGGGGCGACTCCTCTGGTTGCAAAAATAAGTCAGATTGTATAGAAGTCTATGAGAAATTGACCCTACTTCTCACTTGATTTATTACCTCAGTAAACATTATAAACATGAGTTTATGGTCTCAATCTCTAGTTTCAAGTCTTCTTCAATACAGCATGATGTTCATTTAGTAAATTATGGTCCATTTAGAGTCAAATAGACCATAAAGCAGGGGATGCTTTAGGGCGGAGCTACCTGTGATTGACAGTTTGCTGCTGCTTCTACAGTCATTTACTGAGGAACACTCCTCCGCATTCCAAATAGGTTAACTTACATTCACTGGTTGAAAAAAAAGCCAAGATGGCGATAGCCAAATCTCCGAACTCGAAACTTTAAAACGGCAGTCCACTAACCAATGGGTGACATCACGATGACTATGTCCACTTCTTATATACAGTCTATGCAGTCGAGTCATTTGGCTTCATGCACCATTGAGCAGCTACCATAAGAATGAATCAGACCCCGCCTCCAACGCTGTATCCAGTTCTTTTTATAAATCCATTGAACAAACACTGAATGAACATTGGATGAACCTTGAGTTAAGTTTTGTTGTTGTCAAACTTCTGTTTACAAAGTCAAGAAGGAACTTTTACAACTCTAATAAGCAGGTGATTCTTTTTTCAGTTGTGCTAAAATGTTCCTCCCTCACTTTCTCTTCACTGCCATGCAAAACACAGACAGCTCCGTCTTTCTCTGGAGGATTTGTTGAAAGTCATTCTGGGAACAACAGGGCTACACTCAAAGAGGGCAGGTTTTGGGAAACAAGGATTCACCAAAACAATATGGGGGTGGAACCTTCTTGTTTTCTTTCCCCTCCTGAACAGAGATTACTTCTAACACAGGGTTTAACAATGCACAGAAATCTTGTTTTGGTTCAGTGAGGTGTAATGCAGAAACTCCACTCTTCCCCCACACACCCACAACAACCCTCTGCAACAATGAAACCCAACCACAGACTGAAATCAAAATGTCAAGGTATCCCTTTCAGGATGTTTACAATCATGTTTGTCGGATTTGTCACCCAATTAAGCATGAACGGCATTACCACCGCCGGCTCCCCGGGGCCTGCTGGAATACATTGACATTCAGAGCGAGCAGACGGACTGAGCCCACTCAGTCCCTGCAGTCATCCACCATCTCTGGACACTCTGACCACGTGTTTTACAGCAAAACACAGAACAAGCTTCCTTCACTGCAGCCTATAATACCTCTGCCTTACTGTTAGAAATAAACACAGAAGAGTCCTAAAGACACCAGGTGCTCCCCAGAGGATGAATCCAAATGATTTTGCTGATCCTCTGATCTGTCTCAAGCTTTCACTTATTGTACAGTTAGAAATGTGGAAATGTTATGGGCAGATTGTCATGCAATTTTCATGCCTCCCACACTTAGATGCCCTCCTTGGATGGTGTCCATTCTATCTGTACAATAAGTGAATAAATAAATATTAATTAAAAGCACCAGTATGTATTGATTGGCATCTAGGGATGAGGTTGGAGATTGCAACCAACTGAATAGTAAATGGTAGCTCTGTAACAGTCACCTGACTTCCTGCTTTCCCCCCAAACAAACAAGCCAGTCATAACGACATATAGCCGCAAGTGGGCTTTGTCACCTTCTTTGGGCATTTTCTATAAGGATTTAAGAGGCTTGTTTTCTCTTGGGAGAAAAGTCTCAAAATAGAAGCGAAACGATTAGCAGTTCTGCTGCAGTTCTGTTGCTGCAACCTATTATATCACCAGGCCTTGGCATGTAGTTGATGGGTAAGGGATTGGACACCTTCAGGATATGTCTGTGACTGGAAATCCATTAACATCCTCCTTTTGAAATACACCTGCGATAACATTGAACCCATTCGATTGTTCCTTGACTGTAACCAGTGGTTGTTAATTGAAAGAGTTTAGATACAGGGCCTTTATATTAGCTCTTACTACCTGTCAAATCACTCACAACACCCTGTGAGGGTGGTGAAGGCTTTTTATTAGTGCTAACAGTCATTTTGGGAGATGTACGCTAACGGTGTTGGTTCAATTGAATTCAAACTTTGTTTTTTAGTGGAAATGATTATTTCGGTAGTAGTCTTACTCACTGGATGTAGACTGTGGGTATAAATTTGCCGTTGGCCGTGTGTATCATTCTCCTTCCCTTTTGCTATCTGTGCTATATATTTTGCAAGGGCACCACCGCTGCATCCTGGTCTGAGCGCTGCCCAAGACGATTGTGATTGGTATAAAGAGATAAAAACAACCCAGACTGTTTTTTTGTTGATACAGATCGGGCTGAGTAGTCCACCACTCAGTAGCATTGACTGTAAACTGTAGAGAAGTGTAATTATTTCAGTTTTTAACACTGGAAACAATACCTTCTCTCCAGCAGCTATGTGCAGGCCAGGTGTATTGTCCCGAGGGCCTCCCTCTGTATTTATTGAGAAGTACAGGTTGTCACCGTCGCTAACAGGCTCAGCAGGAACTTGTGATTTCCCGCAGCGCATCATGTCAGATTTAACAATGTTTCATTAGCCAGTGCTGGGAATGTGAGCTTTGAGGGCCTGCCCCGGTGTGAAACTTAACAACATGTTTTTAATCACATCTATGACTCCGTGGTGACAGTCGAGGAGAGAAAACAGTCGTGTTTGCAAAGCCGAGTGGTTGACATTTTCACAACAGGAGCGATACAATTCAGGAAAGTGACGGAAATTAACCTCGGCACACTTTTTCTCTCAAGTTCAAACAGAGCAGATTGCTGCAATACAAGAAAGTCACACCAAAGCCACAGAACAACTGAACTGTATAGATTGTTGTCAGGAACTTCGGGTGATAAACTACTATACACCTTTCGTTTCAGTCGTCTTTTGACAAGGAGCAAAGATACGAATGCCTCACTGACCGGATAGTCAACTCTGTAAAAAAATAAAATAACAATGAATCCGGTCTCCGGTAGGGTACGGTCTGTCGGTCGGTCGGACCACTTCTCAATGATTATTGGATGGATTGCCATGAATCCTACTGACTTTGGTGATTCCCTGACTTTTCTATGGGCTTCACTTTTGTGGTTTGGAGGGAAATGTCTCAACAACTAATGGATTGATTGCCATGAAGCTTGATAGAGACATTAATGTCCCCTTCAGGAGAAAATTGCAAAAACTTGCATGACCCCCTGACTTTTCACCCAGCGCCAACATCAGGCGCTTTGTTTAAAACCAAATACCTGCAAAGCTAATGACATTACCATCCGCCTCAGCTGTACTTTGTGTTAGTGCTAATTGGCAAACTATAGCATGTTCACATTGTTGCTGTGAGCATGGTAGCGTGCTGACATCATCATTGAGCTCAAAGTTGGGCTATGACTAATTACAGTCTCACAGAGCTGCTCTGTAGTCTCTTGTTTGAACTTCGGAGGTTAGCTGTGTCCCCCTGCCTCCAATCTTAAGGCAGAGCAAAACTAACAGTCTCCAGGCTAAGGCTTCATACTTAATAGACAGGTATCGATTCTGATATCGATCGTTTCATCTTGTCTCTGCAAGCAAGAAAATTACAGCATTTCCTAGAAATGTGGGACAAGTCCTTTAATCGCATTAGCTGCATTTTAATAAAACTGTAAAGGTGCAGATAAGCAGGGTTACCCTGGTTAAAGTCCCAGTGACATTAGAGCGACTGTAGCTTCTGTATTGTGATGTATTCTCCAGTGAAACAGATTATTTGAGCGGTGTACAGTTACAAGAGAAATTTAAATCAATCCTTCGCATTTGATTGGACCGCTAAAAAGTGGGCGGGCTTATGTAGCGCAATACGGAGCTACAGAGCTCCAAACGTACACCTCCATAGTCACTAAAAGTTGCAGATTGATGTATGGATGGATGGATGTCATCATATGGTTGGTTACAATTGGTTGGTACTCGCTTACGTAAGCACAGGAAGAAGAGATGATTGGATTTTCATATAATAACACCTTGGTTAACTGCTATTTAGAAACTGAAGCTAACCACAGCATTAACTCATTCTTCCACTGCTGACGCTTATTTTTTTTCCTCCTTTTCATGACCCTCCATAACTGACAGCTCCTAGCTCCGCCCCCAAAGATTTGACAGTGATCAGTCGCGAGGGACGACCCCGCGCCATTTTAATCAGCTGGCAACCGCCGATGGAGGCCAACGGCCGTATCACAGGTGAGGGTTCGCACAGCAAACAGCACAAGTACAGCCCTCTACTCATCCAAGGTACACTGTCCAATCACAGCGCACACACACTATCCATCAGAGGTAATAGTTATTTTGATTTTCAATTAACCTGGTGATTATTTATTTTAAAAACAGATTAATCATTGTAATCTGTAAAATATATAAAAATGATGTTCTTAAAATATCAAAGATATTGAGAATTCAGTTGTTGCTCTTCGTGCACAAACACACACACACCCACACACACACACACACACACACACACATACTTTCCTCCATTGTTCTCTCTCTCCTCTGGGCGATCGACCTGACTGTAAACCCGTCTGTTTTAACGAGCTCTGCTGCTCCTGCAGTGTCCTGGAGGACGAATCATACGCTCCCTGCAGGGATAACAGTACAACACAACGCCAAACACACACACACACACATACAGATCAGATATTTTTAGATCTTATACATATTCTTTTGTCAAATGTCCCACCCTACCTCTAAATATTTGTATGTTCTTATCCTGTAACAAACATTCTGCATATAAACATGTTCAAATATTAAGTCTTCTGGGTGAATAAATAAATAAATAGATAAAATAAAATAAAATATTAAAATGGAAATATGAGATGTCTTTGGTCCCAAATTCAACATGTCAAATCTTTTAATCTTTCAATTTTATTAGAAACTGGAAAGCAAACCACTAATGTTAACAATACTTCACTGTGGATATAAATGTTCCTCTTATTAATCGTATGATGTTTTGTCTGTCAGGTTACATCCTGTACTACACGCTGGATAAGAACATGCCCATAGATGATTGGGTGATGGAGGCGATCACCGGTGACCGGCTGACTCATCAGGTCGTGGATTTGAACCTCGACACGGTTTATTACTTCAGGATTCAGGCCAAGAACGCCAAAGGAGTCGGCCCGCTGTCTGAGCCCGTCCACTTTAGGACCGCCAAAGGTCTGTCAGAGAGAGTGTGTGTGTGTGTGTGTGTGTGTGTGAGACTGAAGATCAAGATCTGCTTCATCTGTAAATTCCTTTGTTTTATATTTGATACGTTTGCTGTCTCCCTCTGTTGCTGTTTCAGTGGAACATCCAGACAAGATGGCCAATGATCAAGGTAAGCTTTTTCCCTCTACTAGAGTGTGTGTATATATGTGTGTGTGTGTGTGTGTGTGTGTGTGTGTGTGTCTGCATACTCGTGGATTCAGACTAGCTTCAAATACTTGATTGTAAAATAGTTCTTACATTTCAAATAATTGCTGGTCTCAATTCGTCTCATGCTCTTCAACTTTTATTTCATTTCATTTTAATGTTTCCTTCAAATCATCAGCAAGTTTCATTCCCAAAAGTTTTTAAAACATTAACATGCCAATTATGTCATAGCATTAATGAATTGCAATATATATATATTTTTCTGGTAATTTAAACTATGAAGGAGTTATGTTTTTACAATGTATCAATGTTCTGGTAGGAGTTAGCTTGTGGGGAGATCATGCGTTCGGTCGTTGGTGTGAGTATCTGTCTGTCCACGAATAATCCTGCACAACACTGGATCCATCAGCTTCATATTTGTTGTGCTCATTTATGACTGTATGTTGCGGTGATTCACATATTTTATTAAAAAAAACATTTACTTAGATCACTTAGTGATAAACAACTGCTTCAGTAGCAGGTGCATTTCTGACAATTGGCTCGGCTAAAAACAAGCCTTGCCTAGTTACAAGATGAATAGAAAAGAGAAAACAGATTGGAGTGTTTGAAAAGCAGTTGGTCAGTGAATACAGTAAATTTAAACTGTTACTAAAACTGCTAAATGTAGTGAATAAACGGTTCAAACACTTGGCTGACAGTGATTGTCGCATGTACACTAATGTGAAATAGAAGTGATGAAAACACTTCACTCTATGCGAACAACCCCGACTCGTCAAGCTGAAGGGAAGTCGTTTGTTATATTCTTGGAAAACATAAAAGTTCTTCTGAGAGAAAAATAAAAGGAGAGCGAGCCAGAGAGGAGGAAGAGCTTTTTGTAGTTATTAATTCAGACTTATGGGGGCGATGGAATAGAGCTGTTTACCATATTAAAGTTCATCAAATTAACTCAGACATAATTAACGCTCTGTTCGCTGGTTCTATTCATCAGCCGCCGCACACAGCTGGCAGAAGGGGACATAATGCTAATGATTGAAGCCTCAAAACTTTTTTTCTAATTTGCGTCTCTAAACTTTTAAATCTCACAGCAGCTCAGAGAACATGACAAATCATTTTGTAGTTTTTAATGTGTGTTTTCCTAAGCGTCCTTTGAATTTTACGTGTTACGAGCATTAGCAATTAGAAATCATCATCATCATGTAGAGTTGCATCGTTTGATGGCCAGAGCACACACAAGTAAACAACAGCAATACATCATCAGCAACAATAGACACGACTGAGAGTGCACAGTCATGCTCTGTGAGGCTGCACTGCGGTGCTTTCAGCTAAATGCAATTTTTATTTTAGCATGATAGCCACATCCATGGTGCTGAAAAGCTCACAATGTCAATGCTATCATGCCGATGCTAAGCAGGCGTACTCTTTGACGAGATCACCATCTTAATTCAGCCTTCTGGCGCTAGCATGTGCTAAGTGGTACTAAATACAACGTACAGGGGGGGCTAACTGCAGGGTCCGCCATTGCACGGCGCCCCTGGAGCAGTTTCTTGCACCATTGTGCAGGTATTTAGTTATAAACCAATTGAAAGTTTACGATCATATTGCCGTTGGCACATTGGGAAACAGAGTGTGTTTCAATGGGTGTTGCAAATCTACGCACAAGGTCTACAGTTGGACCCTTTTGACTCAGACGCTACCTGATGGAGGCAATTCACAATTTCCCAGCAGAGTTCCATTTAAAGGTGCTGGCTCGCATCCTATTTTGTCCATGACAATCGAAAACAGAAGGCAGAGAGCGTGCGATGACTTCCTGCTGGGAATACAGATACAGCTCCCAACCTGTTCTGTGATCACAAATCGACATCATCGAAGATTCCAAGCAAATACAGGGGGGGGGGGGACAGCACTCAGACCACCTTTGTCTGAGCCAAAGTACTCACTGCTTTCTACAAATGCAGTCTGGGAATTTCCAGTGCAGCTGGACTCAAGAGCAGTGAAGCGATGGGGACACTGAACCAGAGAGTCTCAGCTCCCGTGTCAGGGTGTTAAATGGTGCTGTTTGTCTCTGACAGATGTGTGTGTCTGTGTGCGGACACTGCGGTCCCTCTCCATATAAATCAGAAGTGTTGTCAGGGGAGAAGGGAAGATTGATGTTCAGCCTTGTTACTGTGAGCCTTACACTGTAAACACACGTACACAAACATATACACACTGTTTAATGCACACACAATGATAGGCTGGCAGGAAACTTAATTAACGTGTGTTTTCAGAAGCATGAACATCTTAAAATCCAGCTCTTATCAAACTTGTTCCTGTAGCTTCAAACTGCAAGAAAAACTAAAAATGTGCTTCATATTTGACGGCGCGGTTACTCACCACCACGGCTGCTGCTGCTGCTGAGAGAGAGACCAGCTTTTAGTTTTAAAATGTGGGAGTATGTATCGTGGTTTGGGTTCAGGGTTACTGTGAGATGTGGAGGTCTTAAGATTAAGTTTCTCGATAACAGTTGGGAGGTTTTGGAAAGCTCTCTCATCAGTTTCAAATCTCTGTTCTCTGGCAGCCTTCTGTTTCTGACTTCCTCGTGGGATTTGCTCCTCCAGTGTTCCTGATTTACGTACTGGCTCAACTGCTGGTTAGCAAAGACATAATGAATACCTGCCAATTTCAGAATATATGTATATATATATATATGTATATTTATATTTTTGTACTCCAAATAATGTAATAGTACTCAGAGCAGACCATTCTGCAATCTCAACCACTCTTTTCACTGTTAATCTGTGGCCGTTTTCCCATGAATGTATGCTAGGTAGTTAGCTAGCTATGTAGGGAGATGACGTCCCCATTCTTCTCTACTAAGCTCAGTTCTCTCTCTAACCGGCCTAAGCAGCTCTCCAAACAGCCATCAATGGGCAGAACATGTCTTTTGGAATTGCTTAACAAATCAGAGATGTGGGCGGTGATTCAGAGATCTGGAACCGGGCTGGAACCGGCTCTTTCAAGTCTTGATGTTGTAGTACTGCTGGGAAATGTTACTTTTTCCCCCCTTCTGTTATCGACTATGTGAAGAGGTTTCAACTGCTGATATTATACAGGAAGTTAGAGTTTGTACACTCCACTAGGGTTGTCCCTTGTCAAGAACTCATATGCAATTTCTCACAAATGTCTAATAGGATTAAATGACGAAGTAATGACAAATTTGGAAAAAAACACGGATGTAAACTGCAACTTGACTGGAGGTAATTCTAGTTTTGCTGATGGTGTACTGCTGCGTACTGTCATTACTCTTAATCTAGCCTACAATGCTTCCGACAGGTCAGAGAAACAGTCGACAATGGACACCAGACCTATTTGAACCTTTTTGAAACCAGGCGAATAATTTAGCCTTGGTGTGTGTATCAGCCGATATCAGCAATCTCTTTCTACCTGTCCTATAATAAACTATTTATTTATTATTTCTGTCTTTAAGCATGTTACAGTGTGACAATGGTGATTGTAGTGTTATATTATAATACTTGGGTTATGGATCTTCTCTAGTAGGCCTACACTGCTCAAACTGAAACATCTTAGGGTTATGGTGGTGTGTTTGCATATTAACAAATATGCACTGAATATTATATGGTGTCAATACTTTTAAGTGCTTTCCTCTCTTATTTGTAGCCTGTAGTGTCCCTTTATAATATATTAAAGGATGCCTACAGCCTTGAATCAACGCCAGCCAGCCAGACAGGCAGAGGCGTGTGAGCTATTCATCCAGGTTTAAGCAGCAATGTCACAGTCAGGATGCTCCAACATATTTTACAGTGAATTAAAGATCACTAGGAGATATTGGTTTAGGGGTCCTCCCTCAAAAATCTGTAGTTTCTTTACTTAAAACTATGCAATTTGACATAATTTTGCACCATTGTTATCACTATAGATAACTTCCATTAAGCTGAAAGAAAAAAACTTGCCATAGTATAATCATTTGTTTTTCTTTTTACACATATATCAATAATTATATTTATTCACAAATAATCCCTTTCCAAAGAGTAAACTGCATAGCTTCAGTATTTACCCAGAGATCCAGAAGCCATTAAAAACTTCTGCTGCTGAAATAAAACTAAAGGACTGTAAGTCCTTTATATGGGAACCAATCCAAATACCCATTAAGTGTATCCAGGCAAGTTGATAAAAGCTGAAAGACAGCACACGTATGATAAGAATGTGTGTGTGTGTGTGTGTGTGTGTGTGTGTGTGTGTGTGTGTGTGTGTGTGTGCGTGTGTGCACCGTCTTAACAAAGTAATTCATTTCCTAACAAGGAACCAATCTCTCTGCAAAAATGACTTTTCCATCTTTATCTCAGCAGTTTTCTATTTATTTATTTTTGTTTCATTCCTGATGTTCCTGTTTATTTCTCCTATGTGCAGGTCGAGGGGGAGACCATGCCTACTGGCCGTCTGACACCAACCTCATTGACAGGAGCAGCGTCAACGGTAACACACACACACACACACTCATACACATTGTTCTTCTGCTTGGCCGAAAGAGCAATTCACTTTTGGTTCATTCTAGGACTCTATTTACTGCATTGAAACCAAATCTCCTGGGAGCTGAGCTAATTCACAGCTACTCAGTGGTTGTTTTGATCACTCTGCTCAGTCATGTCTGAACTTAGTTTAATGACTCGCCGTGTGCTGGCGAAGCGCTGCAGCTCAGCTGATTTACAGGCTGTTAGGATTGCTTCCTGTGTTGTTGTTGTATCGCTGCCGGCAGGAAAGAATTAATTAGATTCACTATCTCACCATCAATCAGTGTTTTTTACAAACAGGAGAAAGTAATCTTTTTGGAGGAGCAAGAAAAGAGTGTTGTGGCACATCAATCACCTGCTTGTAGTTTTTAATATAATGCCAAGAACAACAATAACATTATGATTCTTGATAATGACAGGGGAGAACATGAGCGTTTTCACTACAAAGAATATCAAACTTCAATATCATAAATCTGATGACAATAAAAAAATATTACAGCATTACATTTCATATTTACATGAGAACATTTTTATTATTTTCAATTTTCCTTTTAACTATAATTTATGCTCACATTTTGATATATTTGTATCCCTTAAGACTGACACTAGTTTTAATGTTATTATTAATATTAGTTATAATTCCACTTTTATCTTAATATTTTCAATCATCCAGACAAAAAGCCAATGGGATTTTGGATTATTGCAAAAAAATAAGCTCTGTGGCAAACAAGAGTTTAGATTGAGATTCAACCTTTATTGTCCATAGAGGAACTTTGCTCACACAACACTGTGGGCTGTCTGCGTAGGAATGGCTGAGACAGAATGGTTCAGGATACGTACACCTTTTGTTCAGCAACATAATCTTTACATACGAACACCACTTTTTATGATTTTGTTGTGTAAATGCAACCACCACAAGTACAAATCCACCACTTAGCTAAAGGCTCACTGTCGCCGTGGTTCCATGGTATCGACGTTTAGCCACTTGTTAGCAACCATCTTTTTTTTAATAACACCTAAAAACCTCAAAATTCAGAGAGCGGTATTTACTGCATTTCTTTGTTGTAGAACAAGTTTTTTCTAACCACAGACCTTATTTCAGGAATGTAATCAAAAACCCTTTGACATTACTTCAAATGTAATACTAAACTGCATATTCATGCTAATGCTAATATCAATCATGATACACATGCCAATGCTAATGTTAAGCTAATGGTTATACTTGTGCTAGTGCTAATATTAAACAGAAATGACTTACACCTGTGCTAGAGGAAGTACTCTGCTGCACACAATGCCAACGCTAATACTGCTGCTGGTAATACGACTGAAACTACTGCTAAAGCTGTTGCTAACAATACAAATCATGGACCATAACCATAACTGTCTCCTCTCATTTCTGTTGAAAGAAAAAACTGTTCAGTTACCCCTCCCCCACTAAGAGGTCAGAGGTCAGGGTCTGAATCTGGCATTGATTCAGTGTCTCACTGAAGGACAGTTGAGCAGCATGCATGTGTGTGTGTGTGTGTGTGTGTGTGAGTGTGTGTGTGTGTCTGAGGACGGTCTCTCTAACATTTTGTCAGTGTTGCTGCTGCTACAGCTGCCGGAGGCAATCATAAATCCGTCCTCTCTGACCTCCGACCTCCTCTGAGCTTTATGGCGGGTCAGCGAGGGCAAAGCCTCGTTCATCACCTCCACCGTATTTCGTCTTTAACAGTGTCATCAGTTATATCACCGATCTTCCTCTCACTTGAAAAACAACCTACAGAGACTATTCCACCCCGGACTCTTACCACCAGGTCCCAGTTCTGCAGGTTGCTACATTTAACTGTATGCACAATAGCATATGCACAGGTGATCTGGTGTTGACATGATCCACTGACAGTGTCGGAGCCATATAGACTGTATATAAAAATGGACGACATGACACCCCTCGCCAGTAGTGAATCCAAAACATCTTGATGGCCTCATTTTTACCAGATGGGACATGGTGTCTGTCGTTTTAGGTGCTTCTTATCGCACTGATTAATGTTTTTATGATGAGTTTGGTTTTAATTAGTTATTTGATCCAATAAAAATGAGGTGTGACATCTTGATTGACAGCTGTGATTCTCTCTCGCTAACAAGCTGTGGCTGTGCTTCGCTGGCCATTGGTTTGAGCGAGGGACGTGGGGACACGCCATCTATCTACACTCTATGGTCGGAACAGTTTGAGTGCTGATAAAAGCATTCAAGAAAATGTCTTCTTCCTCTCCTCTTTTTCTCCTGAGGAGGTGAAGTCGGCTTTTGTCACGGCTGAGAGCTTCATACTACTCAGGCAATTAAAGTAAACAACATACTGTATATCTGGCTGTTCAAAGGGGTTTTGAATAACATCTTGCACCCTCGTGTTCCCTTGAAACTTCACTTGCTGAAAGGTTTAACGGTTTCGTCTCTGTGTGATGTTATTTGTACAAAAAGGATTGGCACTGTTCATGACTTAATAACATAACTAAAAAATGAATAATAACTTTGATTTAAAAGTTTGTATAAACAGAAACCCAATGATGTAAAAAACAAGACTCTGTGAGGCTAGGTAGGCATTGCAATGCACTAATCTCTCATCTAATTTCACCATCTTGGTTTCATTTGTGAGCATGCTGACATCGCTAACAAACACTAAAAACAAAGTACCGCTGAGACTCATGGGAATGTCGTTCATTTTACAGGTGTTTGGTTATAAAACAGAGTACTGGACACACTGAAAATCTAATATAATGGTGATAATGGTGCCATACAGAATGCTAAGGGGAAAAGTTCATCCTGTGCTTCATCATTTGTGAAAATCACAAATGTTTTTGAGACACATTCGAGTGGCGCTAGACGAAAAGTCTAAATATCAGTTGGATTCATCCTCTGGGCACCATGAATATCTGTACAAAATCCATCTAAAGAATTGTTTTAGTCTGGACAGACATTGCTAACACTAGACCAACGTTGCTAGTGTAAGACCAATTTTTTTTTTTTAGGAAACGGTATGTAGGATTCACAGTCATGACCTTGTGTGAGAATTATCTGTGACTCTACATTCATGTGTTATTATTAACTATTTAAAGAAAGGACCCAGAGACTTCAAATATGCTGGCATCAACAAGAAAGTGTAGAAAACGGAACCAAAAAAAGAACATTTCTCACAGAAGACATTTTGACATATAGCAGGACAGTATTGTTGAAATGAATTAATAAATGAATATTGGCAGCATTCCATTATGATGTTGCGGTTCCATTGCCGTGCTGAATGCATGTTTGCTTGACTTTCTAAATTACACTCGTTGTCTCCCACTGTAGCTCACGATGATTGGGTATGTTGTCAACTTTGCGTCAACCACGCCCCTCAGCTGTGAACATGCCATGGTCTTTAATAAAACAGTCCTGTATGGCAATATAAAAGTTATAAAAAATGTTCATTTATAAATAATAATGTTCACAGTAAGATAGACCCTCCTGGGCTGGCTTCAACCACCATATAAGAAAATATAGAGCCAAGTAATGAAACCAATGTCATATTGGTTTCAATACTTGGCTCTATATTTTCTTTATTCTATATGTTGCCATTTAATGTGCAGCCACTGAGTAGCTGTCCGGCGTCAGCAGGATGACTTTGATAACTGCTTGTCCGAGGCCTCTTTGTTTTCCCTGCTGGATCTTTCTGCACTTTGTGAGGATTTCTATACACTTCTTGTTGCTCGTGTGATTTGTTGCTGTTCTTGTGGCTTTTAAACTAACTGAGCAGATGAGAGCCTCCGATTTATTCCACCCGGTGTCTCTGAGCCGCCGGGGGATTCAGAGCCGTGCTCAAGGGCATCTCAGCACATGTTGTTAGTGCTCCTGTTATCATCGGTGACATACGTGTTGCTCGCGGCTCAGCTTTGACTTTCCATCTGTCAGTCGCTGCTCCTGGCACTTATAGCAGTCAACTACAACTATGACATTTTCCTTTTTTTATAGTCCATAAAATTCAGATTTATCGTGTTAAACTATTTTTACTTTAATGACAAACTCACATTTGTTGTGATGATGCTTGCCATGATGCCATGTGCTTTAACTAATTGTCACCTCAAAGGTTAGAATGTTTTCGGCTACTTTTACCTTTTTTACTTTTACTTTTACCAGTTTTCTCATGATTCAAATTACTGAGTCAATAAATCAAGAGAGAAGTTGAGTCATTTTCTCATAGACTTCTATACAATCAGACTTATTTTTGCAGAGGAGTCGCCCCCTTCTGTAGAGAGAATGCAAGTGTTAAAACACTTCTGCATCGGCTTCACTCGTCAGAACCGGAGGTTGCCGCCTAGTTTTACGTTGTATTCGCTAAGTCACGCCCACCTCTGAGCGATCCAGTCACATCTGTAGGCTTTCATTTAAATCATTTAAACTATCAATCTCATAAAACAATACAAATGGAACTGCATCATTCCACAAAGGCAATTAAATATATGCACAGACATGACTGCATGATTTCCATTCCATAACAAGGTTCAAAACATTTTTACCCTTTGACAGTAATAATATGATGTCATGTCCTGTATTTAGGTCCTGAGCAGAGTGATTAGAACATCAGTCCATCCATCCAGCTCTTCTCTCCACACACTGATTATCAGATCACCAACACATTTCAGGATCCCATTCCCGCTCCCCAGAGGTAGAACCCTTTTTGATGTTATTGATCGCCACCTTTACTCTGGCACCGTGAAGGGAGCAAATGTCAGCAAAGGTTCAGAGTACTGTTTAAAAATCATGTGAAAAGAAAAAAAGGAGAAAAGGAGAAAGATGATGAAATTTAACTTTAAAAAACTGAAAATAAATGAAAGTGATATTATGGCCCCTGTGCTGCAGCTGTAAGCTGTGATAGATTGTGGTCTTCATTGAGGGAGACTGGAAAGAGAGAGAGTGAGAGAGGTAGAGTGCCTCTCTCACACATATTTTTATTAATCTATCGTTCCTCCATCTCTCCTCTCTACCCTCCATTCTGCCCTTTCCCTTTCTCTTATCCCCCTCTATCACACACACACACACACACACACACACACACACACACACACACACACTCCTGCTTCTTTCTCTTCTTCCACTCTCTCTTTCTCTCTCTGTAGCTTCCCTCCACCCAGACCGTATGCTTCTCCCGTGTTTTCCTATATTCCCTCTCTCTCTGCTCCAAGGTCGAGTTAATGAATGACAGAGCTTGTCATCAATTCCCCTTTCCCCCTTTACACCTGTCACACACAAGCCCACACACACACACACACAGACCGACACACGCACACACGTTGTGTATTGATTGTTACATTGATTGTTTATGTTTTCAGATAAACCACTTGGGGTTTAATTCCGGAGGCTTTTTATTTTGTAGTCGTGTGTTTTCATCACTAAATTGTTTGAACTGTATTTGTTTCCTTTTGGCTGAATAAGAACTTTTTAGTTTTGTTTGTGGACCGTGTTTTAATTAAAAGACTTAAACGAGGTGGATTAATAGGATGGTGGACATTACATGTATTATTGTAAATTGCCTGTATTTATGTTTCAGTTGTATTTTCTGTGCTGCTCATTACCTCTTCAACATTTCATAATGCAAATAACAGAAGATTAATAGAATGAATGACTTTAAATCTTTATTCACAAAGTCATAATATGATGAGCTTTCACAATACACTGTCTTCTTGATGGAGGAACATCCGTACAACATCCTTCGTCATGTAAAAGGAAATAATTCAATTCAATTGAAATGTAATTTTACATTTCTGTGTATGTTTTTTTTCAATAAAATAGTGCAGTTATTAATGAAAGCTATATTGCCCAATATATTTTAGTGTACTCCGAGCTCCAAATTATGAGATTGACCACTATGAAAAGTCATGTGCAAAAGGCTTTTCCCTTTTCACAAGAAACAAGCTATAATCTGGACATGTTTCAAATCTAAAGATGTAGACTTAATTGTTTTTCAGGCTTACTGAAATTAACATTACTGCTAAAAATGAAAAGTCACATTAAAGGTCATTATCAGTATGGCAGTAGTTTTATTACATTTCACTGTTGACAGTAATTGCATTGAAATTACAATGCAAACAATTTCATGAAATACATTTTCATTTTAATAATAAGAATCATAATAATTCCATGAAAGTGCAACCCTAAACTCACGCCTCCACAGTTAATCTGCCAAAGATCTGACTAAATCTACTTTTTGTACCCTGTTTATTAATAATTCCCTGCCTTCCCTTCTCTTTGATATATTTCAGAGTCTCCCATTGGTCAGATGCGTCCACCGCACGGCAGCGCCACGCCCCAAAAGAACAGCAACCTCCTGGTCATCATCGTGGTTTCCGTGGGAGCCATCACTGTGGTCGTGGTCGTCATCGTGGCGCTCATCTGCACCCGGCGCTCCTCCGCCCAGCAGAGGAAGTAAGACGTTTGGTTCATCTGTGTGATGGCAGCCAGCAGCTGTCGGGGTAACCAGGCAGATGCTTGATGGTTGATGATCTGTTCGGCTTGTTTTCATAGAAAAGTCTAGTCTACCATGTGCTTCCTACCCACTGACACAGCACTGAAACATGTGTGCATACCCAAAAACCGGGAAGGACCTGACCTGAAATGGCTTTTATGACACTAGGTTGATCTTCTGCTTTCTAAATCCCATTTATCAGTTTTATCAGTGATGCTTTATAATCCTCATCAGGTTCCAGTATTATTTTGTAGCTGTCAAATTGTTTTTTATTTTCTAATCCGGTTCACGATGTTTTGATCATTGTTATTGTACTAATCCACGTTGAATTATAATCTTTCAGGATTCAGTCCTGGCTGAACACCTGTGGTACTGAGAGCAAGTGTGCTTTAATGCTACAGCACTCGTTTGAGCAGCTCCTCAGAAATACAGCACTACCACTCACTACCAGTAGAGACGTAATTACAGAATGTAAATACGTTATTGTTATAGTATGGTTATTGCACACAAAATATATGTAAGTAGTATCAAAAATGAGGTTTGATTCCATGAAAATCCTGAAGATTAAAATTTAGATTTTTGCAATCCTGTAATTCAGTAAACATCTGTTTGATTTACTCCAGTTCATGACGTTTCACATGCTATTATTCATACATTGTTTTGCAATGTTTCACTGGTTTCAGTCTTTCTAATCCAGATAAAGGCTGTTTCATAATCCAGTCCATGAAATCAAATATTCAATTGCAAAGCACTGATCAGCTCAACAGCATAATCCTCGTCCTCCTCGTCTCTCCTTCCACCATCATCTGTCTGTCTTCATTTTGTTCCCTCTTGTCCGTGTAAATTGTAGCATACATGAGCAATTCAAGTGGTTTCATGGTGGATGTACAGGGGTGCTCATGTTCTGCTGGGATTTAGAGGGTTGTCTAGCGACATGACTCCAATAGCAGTCCACCCAGGGTTCAGTGTGTTGTCCTCTAACACCTTCAGTCTGTTCTTCCTTCCTGCCCTCACCTGTCTCGTCCTTTGTGCAGGAAGAGAGCGAGCCACAGCGCCAGCAAGAGGAAGGGCAGCCAGAAGGACTTGCGGCCCCCTGACCTCTGGATCCACCACGAGGAGATGGAGATGAAAAACATGGAGAAAGCTCCCAGTGTGGCCCCGTCCGGACACGATTCCCCCCTTCAGTCCTGCCAGGACCTCCCCCAGGTCGCACACAGCCAATCAGAGAGCCAGATGGGCAGCAAGAGCAGCCACTCAGGTACAGGATAGATGCAGATTCATTCATTTATTTATCCTTAGATCCATCCACCTTTGTTTACATGTTATACCTTTATTTTATAATTTTTATAGTATTTTATAAAGTGTATTTTGTCTTGTTTATGAACTTTGATTTGAGTTTGGGTGTCTCCCTTTAGATGCATGTATCATCTTAAGGTTCATCTCTATGTTGCCTGACAACATAGAAATCTAAAATTAGAAATGCAATTGCATTCATAATCTGCGTGCTAAATATAAAAAGTCATCTTTTCTTCATTTCTGTGGTGCTAACAGATTCATTTTATACCCATTATGAGTCTGATTACATTCTGTATAATGAAGCCTGTATTAATTATTAGAAATCATTTCTCCCAGTGGAAAATAGTTAGCTGAGCGCATTTTAAAACTCTGTAATGGCAGCTTACAGAAGGGGGAGAACATGTGTGAATCCCTCTTTTTCATATTTGAATGTTTTTGTTGTTCCAGGAGCTGACGGCGATGAGGCGTCCAGCAGTATCTCCACTCTGGATCGCTCCATGGCTGCCAGGAGGGGGACGCGAGGCAAGATGATGATTCCTATGGACTCACAGCCCAGCAACACACGTAAGTAACACAACCCTGTGCGTGCGTGTGCTCACTGGCCCTCAACTAGCCACTAAACACAAAGTACAGCCGAGGCTGATGGGAACGTCATCGTTTTGTAGGTATTTAGCCAGAAACCAAAGTATTGGATAATTGGAATTTGACCCGATTATGGCACTATAGATGAAATATCAGAAGATCACCAAAGTTATTACAACTCGTGCGCGTTCTTTGGGCTTGACTCAGTTGGTTAAGTGTTAGTTACTAGTTGTTGTAGTTCATGGTGGCACAGAAGAGTAAGTCTGGATCAAAGTGGTGGGCCGAGCCACGCCTCTAGCGTGGCTATGAATGTGCCTTAAATGTTGACCTATCTTTGAGGTGGTGTTTAAACATGAACACCTGGACCCTCCCTCTTTTTAAGGATTGTTCTGAACTATTGATGCTTTTAAAGGTGTTTGTGAATCGGTTGGTGCAGCCTGCTGCTCTAGTATAAATACATTGTGGTTTTCATATTGTGAGTTTGATGCCTGACAGGGTTATCATTGAAAAGTCTCATTTTCAATAGATTTAGTGCTTTCACACTGATGCGAAATAGCAGAATCCCACATAAATTGTGTTTCAATGGTGAATTCCGATATGGTTCTTTGTGAGGACTGTTTTTCCCCCCCGTAAGAGGTCCACAGATCCTCAGTACCAGAATCCAGGAACCGGACCCGACACCAACTTATTTCATATCATACTCACGGGTCTTCCTGTTGCTGCACAGAACATCACATGACATTTCTGCGGCAGTTGGGTGTCTTAGGGTGATGATGATGGTCAGATGGTTCGTCTCTCTCTTTTCCTCTCTGTCTGTCCCCAGGTGGTTGAGATGTAGAAAGACTTTTGTGGAAAAGTGAAGTTGGAAGAAGAGACAACACACACACACACACACACACACACACACACACACACACACACACA